GCTTTGGCCCCCCTAGATTCAGGCCTGTCTGCGTCTCTCAAAAAGAATAAATTTGGTTTATTTTTTCGATCATTTTTCATTGATGCTTGGCTCCTATTGGTCATAGTGTGATATTATATAGCTTATAGCCTTCCTAGATAAATATGCTAGTCACCACTAAAATAATTTTACAATTCGAAGCAGTTGTTCCTGAGATTAGTGCGTTCAACCAAAAAAAAAAAAACTATACAGTTTTGTAATATTACTTGGTATGGATTCAAGACAATAGACTACTACGCTAGGTTAGTCCGGTCTGGATTCATATAACCTTTGAAAATATTGATAACTTTTACTTTCCGTGGCGCTCTTTCCTTGCATCTCCAAAAAAGTAAAAGATCTGTAAGAAGAAGAAGTGTGTTTACGCCTTCGTGCGTATTAGTGTGTTAATGTGAGTGAATGTGTGTGTGTGTGTATGTGAGAGAGTACGTGTGCGTGTGTGTGTGAGTACATGTGCGCGTGTGTGTGTGGGGGCGTGAGTACGTGTGCCTGTGTGTGGGCGTGCGCGCGCACGTGTGTATTTTTGTGCGTGTCTCAGACTAAGCATCGAACATCAAATCATGTTGCTGTATCATCATCATCAACGCGTCGTTGTCCACTGCTGAACGAAGACCTCCCCCAAGGAGCGCCAACTAACCCGGTTTTGAGCAGTTCGCATCAACGCTTTCAAACTTTCCAACATTGACCAACGTGCCGCACGACGCCTTACTACTTGATTATGGTCTATTATAATAAAACTTCCTTACCCAACTAGTTCCTGGTCTTCACTCAATTGGAAATCATTAGCGTGTTTAACAGACTGCTGGAAATGTTCAGAGTACGCCTTCTGCGTCTCAAATTTGATGTCGCAACGTTCACAGTAGGTGGTCTGGTCTTCATTCTCATTGCGATTCTGAGGATTATACATTTTATTGCCGAATTGAAATTAAATAATTTAGCTAAATAATATGTGTATTGTTATTAACATTATTATAACTACACAGACACACACATAATATGTAGATCTAATTATAAAATACTAACTGTAGTACAGGTGCAGCTGCCGTACCCTGCCACGCTTTATTGTTTTTTATTTTATTTATGACATTACCCGCATTAGGAATTTATTCTGTGTCGCAGGGGGGCTTTACAAACATATATGAAACGGACACAAAGAACACCCAGACTCAGAACAACAATTTGTGGATCACACAAAGTGTCGTCCCATGTGGGGATCGGACCCACATCACTCAGCGTAGTACTAAGCGGCGTGGCGACCGCGTAAACCTCAACGCCATCTGTGCAGTCAAAAATTAACTATATAATATGTATATTGTTATTTACATTATTATAACTACACAGGCACACACATAATGTGTAGATCTAATTATAAAATACTAGCTGTAGTACAGCTAGTGACGCACTATGCATCACAACATTGTGACATATTGTGCATGCAAAAATAGTTGAAAACATCTTTAAAGCGGGTTATATCAAACGGTCTAATCGGTATAAATGAATCTGTGCAGAACTTTTTGAGTTTACATCATTCATACATCATTAACAGCTATTCATAGTGCAACGCTACAAATCTCCGTAAAAAGTATATACTCGTATAGATTTGGGCTTAGTATTCTACTCTGGTCAGACAGGTTTGAGTTTATGTCAAGTTTTCCTTCTCTTTGCAGTGCTGTTGTCCTACATAGTTTACTTCCTTAGTTGGCTGTTAAGATACCCACGGGATGAATAAGGGTGGTGACACTCCGTATTCCTAATCCGTCACCACACGGACAAACATACATAAACCAATTTAACCTTTATATATACATCCCATATAATTAATTGTATCCTAAATCTTTTATTATGAATATTGAAAACAGAAAACTACTAATCTGATCAGTATATATCTCGCCGGTTTGATATTTATTTGGGACATAAACTACTTACGATTTCGGCATTCAAATCAAATCAAATCAAATCAAATCAAATCAAATCAAGCTTTATTTGTTTAGAATGTAGGTAAAAATACAAATTAGATGTTGTGTAAGTTAAGTAAGTTCCTGGTACATTCTGCCATATGGCATACAAATCTTAAAATAATAATAATAATAATAAAAAAAAGAACAATTATTAAATAAAATTAGGATATTAAAACCTTTTACATATGTCATTAAAATTATAATGAGAACTCTTTGTTTGTCAAAAAAAATTACAAAAAATGTCATAAAAAATAAAACAATATAAAAAATTAGATTGCATCATTTAAATAATCCGTTAGACAGTAATAACATTTCTCCACCAGGAAGTCTGTCAACTTATTTTTAAATTGTTGAAGTGGCAAATTCTTCAATGCATCTGGTATTTTATTATATATTGTAGGCCCCATACACAATACACTTTTCCTTAGAAGTGCAGTTTTGTATCGGCCCGTCGATAACATGCCAGTGTATTGTGATCGTAGCGGTGCTGTTCGTTTTCTGCTGTCATTAAATAATGGAAACAAATGTCTGTTAAATTTAACAAACATTGCTATTTCCAAAATATATAAGCACGGAAAAGTTAATAATTTAAAATTCTTAAAAGCAGATACACAACTGTCCGTAGTTAATAAGCCCGCTATTGCTCTAATACAGCGTTTTTGAGATTTAAAAATCATATCTCTATCCGTGCAATTCCCCCAAAATATAATGCCGAATCTCAACACTGAGGAAACCATACCGTGATATGCTAATAGCAGTCTGTGTGTGTTTACCTTTTTTGCAAGATGGAAGAGTGCATAAGCAGATTTATTTAATTTCTTGCATATGTTCTCTGCCTGCGGCTTCCATGAACGCTGACTATCAACAAGAATACCCAAAAATCTTGCTACATTTACTTCCTGTATGTCTTGCCCATTACATTTAATGCAAAATTTGTCTATCATTCTGCGTTGGAAGAAATGCATTACTGTAGTTTTCTGTAAATTTATTACCAAATTATTTGCATTCAACCAATTTACTATTTTGTGTAATGTGTTGTTAATTTCCTGTTCATATGTATCCCTATCGTCACACGTAATTATTGCAGTACTGTCATCAGCAAAAAGAACCATTGGTTGTTGAATTTGGCGTGGAAGGTCATTGATATATATTAAAAATAATAAGGGTCCCAGGACACTTCCCTGTGGTTCACCATAGACTGTGCTTTTATAATCAGACCTAAACTTTACTTCACGTTTACTTTTTTCGTTTATACGAATTATCTCTGTATACTGTCTACGATCACTTAAATATGATTTTATTAAATCTAAAACATTTCCTCTAATTCCATAAGCATTAAGTTTATCAATGAGTCTCATGTTTCACATAGTCAAATGCTTTAGACATATCAGTAAATATTGCACATACTGACGTCTTATTATCAACCTTAACCATTATTTTACTTAAAAGGTCATATATTGCCATGTTAACATTTCTATTTTTTCTAAATCCCATTTGTTCGTCACATAGAATGTCAAATTTTATTAAAAAATTGTCAATAGCTTCGTAAATTACTTTTTCTATAACTTTAGAGAAAACTGGGGTTAGAGCTATAGGCCTGTAATTGGTTAGTTTATCCTTACAGTCTTTTTTATGTAGTGGTTTAAGTATAGCTATTTTTAATTTATCTGGATATACACCAGATGTTATACTACAATTAGTTATGTGACAAAGGGGAGCAGCTATTACCTCAGAAACATATTTAACAACTCTTGTTGATATCCCATCGTAGCCAGTGCTGTTTTTGTTTTTTAAAGATTTTATTAATCGTATTATATCTTGCTGTACCACTGGAGCCATGAATAGAGAATAATAATTGGTTTTCGGACCCAAAACTGTATTTTTTGATGTAATAGTCCTTGAACCAGATGTGATATGGTCAATGAAGTAGTTGTTGAATGTATTAGCAATTTCTGTCGGGTCTTTTATTATTTTATCTGATAGCTGTATCTGTAAGATGGGTTCTGGTGTATTTTTATACTGATTAATAACGTGCCACGAAGCTTTTGATTTATTTTTCGAGTTTGATATGTAGTAATTACTTTGGGCCTTTTGTGTTAATTTAACTACTTTTTTAAAAATTGTTGTATATGTTCTGAATTTTTTTATATTCTCAGTTGATGGTGATAGGCGATATTTCCATAGCAAATTTCGTTGTTTTTTTACTACATAATCGTATACCTTTTGATATCCATTTAACATTTTTTTTACCTTTTACTGTAACGAACTTGAAAGGAAAACACAAATCATACAGCAGTAAAAACAATTCTAAGAAATTATCGTAAGCGTCATCTGGATTATCGGTTTCGTATACTTGTGAGAAACATAAGCTTTGCAAGTAATTTTTAAATTTAATGAGATTTTCTTCCGATATATCGCGTTTTTCAGTACGCCACTGGCTTAATAGATACGTCTTATTAACCTCAAACTTAAACAACTGAGCTGTATGGTCCGATAAACCCAAGTCTATATTTTGACTCAGGCATTTTTGTTTTAAATTATGTGCAAAATTGTCTAAACAACTGTTGCTGATTGGGCGTGTAGGGGCTTTTATTATTAATTGTAAATTATAGTTCAAAAGAAATAGTTCAAAATCAAGGGTTGTTCTATTTCTTTTCAGGATATCTATGTTAAAATCCCCGCATAACACTACTTTAGTTTTGGGTTTAGTTATCTTTTTTAAAATTAAGTCGAGCTTTTCATAAAATGTATTTAAGTTGCACATAGGGGGTGGTCGATAAATGCAAATAATGCTCAAGTCTAGCTTACGTAGTTCTATAGCACAACACTCTATGACGCCTGGCAAAGACTGATTTGCAATATGTTTCAGTTCCTTGTATTCATGGCCATTCCTAACCAGTATGCAAGCGCCCCCACGCTTTTTAGAATCCCTCGCGTAACATGCCGCTAGCTTGAAATTTGGTATATTTAATAACGGTTCATGTCCCGACATTATAAAATGTTCCGTAATACATAATACGTCCAATTTTATATGTTTCCCCCAGAAATTTTCAATATGAACTGTTAAAATATCAGATTTATTTAAGAGTCCAGCAATATTTTGGTGCAATGTATATACGCAATTATCATACACGAAAAAAGTTAATGTCAGTTATTGTGTCTACATGATCATTGAAAATGGTTTGCTCGATGTTACTATTGACAGTATATAGTTGAATTTCTTTTATACGAATGAGTATGTCATTGAAAATAGTTGCCATTCCACAATTATTTAGGCTGCCTGTACGTCTATTAAACATTTTGTAATCACAAGTTAAGTTTCTGTTACTGTCTAAAAAAAAAGGATGTTCATTTGCTAGTATATCTAAATACAAAAGGTTATTGAAATTTTCAACTCGCCAATTGAACATTGTTGAGTAGTAACTGTATTTGTATGTCGGTGTACATATGACAATGTGAGTATGCTGTACTTTCTTAAGAGCCTCCCTTATATCAAAAATCATGCTGAAATAATCTTGAGTCGATATAAAATCTTCTTGGCCTACTAGAATAATGCAATAATCGTTCAAAGTGTAGTCTTGCAATTTTGTTTCTATGTTCATTAATAATTGCTTAGTGCTGCCATCTCTTACCAAGTAATGGCACAGGTTATAGTTCCCAGAGAAAGTCTTTTCGGCTATTGGTAAAATTTTGTTAGTACTATTACAGCTTAGTAACCTCCTTTCTAAGGAGAGGCCAATGTCCAGCAGTGGACTAGTATAGGCTGTTGATGTGATGATGTGATGTGTGATTACAGCTTAGTATGCAGATTTTATGTTGTATAACATTCTGCTGGTGCAGCTGATGCTGCTGGTAGCCATCGTGATGATTTTCTAGTACTACGTCTGTGGGATTTAACATAGTCGTTGGCTTTTCGGGTATGTCTAATGGGGTTTGAGTATGTTTATGTTTAATTTCTCGTATTTTTTTCGGTGTTGAATTGTTCGAAATTGCATATTTTTTTGTTGTTTTGTTTTTCGCAATGGGACTGCATGATGTTGCTGTTTTATAAAGTTCATTTTTCTTTAAGAGATTGCTGTTCATGCGTTTGAGATCAGCATTTTCACTGCAAAGTGCTTCCACTTCCGTATGAGCACTCTTCAATTCGAGAGTAAGTTCCTCAATCTGTTGTCTCAGTTTTTTTATTAGTTCATGTTGGGTAGTAGAATCCAAAGTTGAGAAATCAGGCAGACTAGTGCAACTATCTTCACTACATAAAAATGTTGAAACTGCACTTTGATTGCAGACTGTACTAGAGTCCAAGGACGCGCGTTTTCGACGAAATGTTATATTGTCGAGAAAGTTCATGATTTTTTCTCTTCCCAAAAAAAGTCTTCTTGATTTTAAATTACTAATTAATTAATCTAATTATCGATTTTATTATCAATTCGGAACCTACAAGTGGCGCCCTCTTGTTTGTTATGATAAGTTTCTTTATAGCGCACTAACAGTTTAGTGGTAAGGTTAAGTTAATTTTGTTAGTCGCCACTAGTAGTTGTTACTTACTTCAGATTGACTTGGTAGCTCAATACTGTGTTGTATGTACTCGTATACTTTATAATCTAAAAAACTTATAAAGAAATTTCAATACTATTCCTCCCAAAAAATCTTCTTCATACTAAGATTCGAACTGCCGCCTTAGGATATCCAAAGCACAGCCATTATCTAACATGCCACAGGATCAGTTAACGAGTGACATCAAAATTAAGTACTTCTTTCTACCAAATGTATTTTTTAAATCAGCTAATCAGTTAAAAGTGACTCATCGCTTAGGATTTTTTTTTCACATTCCTGTCACTCACTTCGTAATATAATGTTTGTCTATTTTGTCGAAATTGTCACTGTTGGTGCACTTTCATGTTCACTGAGAGGATTTTAGTGTATGAAGTAAAGTATTTAACACTGCTTCATACTATTTTTTTAATGTTTATTAACGTTTTAAAGATCACAGATTTTTTGTTAATTCATACACTGTTAATTCATATATACTCGATAACGTTAGTACACTTTCTGCAAACCGTCAAAAACTTATTTTATACATAATTTAGAAAAGTTAACACTAAAAAACTATTTTTAAAACCAAAATTAATATGGAGCTTATTTAAGTACGTCGTCCTTGCTACAGCGCCATCTACGCTTTCCATGTTTTCAAATGTTTAAGTATTTTATGTTGTTGCAACCCCTTTCTGCTGACGAAAGACTCCCCACAGAGTGGGCAAACATGGTCGCTGCGGTGATATATACGCAAGTGGGAGTAGTATGAAGATTTGTGTCTGGAACCAATAAATAATATGACTGGCTCGGTGGTGCAGTGGTGCGTATGCGACTCCTGTGCTGAGATCTCAGGTTCGATTCCCGGGTCGGACCAAATGTTTGTTTCGGATTTTGGGTGTTTTCTATGTATAATATGTATGTATTTACAAAAAAATGTCATATTAGATGTCTATCAGGCAACCTAGCTTTCATGGTACAAGCTCTGCTTAGTTTGAAACTAGATGGAGTTGTGTCAGATGTCCGAAAATATTATTAATATTGAATTTTTTATGGTGTAAGGGGGGGGGGGGGGGCTAACGAGCTGACGGTTCACCTGATAGTCAGGGGACTTCATTTTATAATTTGTAAGGATTTAATCCTTTATGGACAAAGTCTACCTTAGGGTCTTGCAGAAATGTGTAACTAGGTGTACTAGATTTTGATAATTGAAAAGTTGTAAATATAAATATTATTTGTGTATATAACTTAGCAAGTATATATTATTATGTGTGTTTGAGTATGTAACGTAACATACCTGAATTCCAATCCGCAGTGTTTGCACGGCAGCTTCACTCCACTATGAAAATCATTGTGATTACTTGCTGAATGTCTGCCAAAATATTATATGTAAATATTGTTAAATATCACTAATAAATGAGGTCAACCTCGCACTTACTTCTTGTAAACTGTTTTCTATTCGTGAAGACCCGTTAATGGCTGAATGTAACCTAAACAATATTGAATCAGTTAGTAAAAGCTGTTGGTCTTCCAAGAACAAATAAATAAATAAGGTTGATTACTCCACTAATAAGAGAATTAACTTTCACTTCTCGAAAGTTTTTCATCAAATTCGGAGTTAATAATTAAGTACCTGGATGACCGAGCTTTGAGTTTTTTTTTTCAAATTTTCTAAAAATATAACCTTAATAAATCGATTAATCGCCCACGAAACCCCCTGCATACTAAATTTCATGAAAATCGTTGTAGCCGTTTTCGAGATTTACATTATATATGGTTAGATATATGTGGTAACGGATTAAGAATACGGAGTGTCACCGCCCCTGTTCATCAAGTGGGTGTCGTAAGAGCCGACTAAAGGAGCAAACTACACAGGACAACAGCACTGTAAAGAGAAGGAAAACTTGAAAAATACCCTATACCAACCGGTCTGGCCAGCGTGGTATAGTAGGCAAAAACCTTATGTTATGAGAGGTATAAGTCCAGCAGTGGGCTATCGGCGGCTGTTGATGTGATACAAGAATTGCTCGTTTAAAGGTATTAGATATACTTACTCTGAATGAAAGGTCAGGTCGCACCGAAGACATTTAAACTTATTGTAGTGTACTATGATGTGTTGTGTTACTAAACATTTCATTTTATAGCGCTTATGGCAGAACTGGCATTCATGTAGTCAAAGGCGGCAATGCAATTGTGACTCTTGAGTCAAAAGTGACCGTCGGTGGTAGTAATCACTTATTATTAGGTGACCTCTTTGGCCCTATACTACTAATATTATAAATGCGAGAATATGTCTGTCTGTCTGTTACCTCTACGCTTAAACCGCTAAACCGATTTAGATAAAATTTGGCAGAGGAAAATTTTGAGTCTCGGGAAAGGGCATAGGATGGTTTTCATCCCATAAATCATCCTTTAAGGGGTAAAAAGGGGGGTGGAAGTTTGCATGGAGAATCAATAACCGCTATAATAATTTTTGAAGAAGGGCATGGGCTACTGATTACCGCGATAACCGACATAAACGTGGGTGGAGCCGCGGGCAAATCTAGTATTATATAAAAAAAAGATTGACTGGTATAAGCGTCGGCGTTCGGTTTCGCCGCATGTTGTCTCTACTTAGAAATAGACCGGAATGATTTTTTTTTCTAGAAAATGCTTTATTTATGAGTATTTTAGTTGTACTTATTCCAGAACACAAGAAAAGCAGAATAATTTCAAGGCCATCTGTCCAGGGTTATGTTCTCGTCTGACTCTTCAGGTGGATATTCTTCCAGTTTACTTCCAGAACCTTCTTCTGATTTCTTCTTTCTATTTCTAGAATTAAAATATTAGATGTTGAATTACATAGATTCTTCTAAACAATTTAAAACAGGCTTCTACGGGCCTGTTGGTATAGTGGTTAGTGACCGTGACTGCTAAGCCGGAGGTTGTGGGTTCGATTCCCACCTAGAATAAATATTGTGTGATTATCACGATTATTTGTTCTGTGTCTGGGTATAATTTATGTATAATATGTATGTATTTAGAAATATATAAGTATGTTTATCAGCAGTCTGGTTACCGTAGAACAGGCTCTAGCTAGTTTGGGATCAGACGGCCGTGCGTGAGATGTGTGAGGTTATTATAATTAATCTATACTAATATAATAAAGCTGAAGTTTGTTTGTTTAGCGCTAATCTCAGGAACTACCAGTTCGAATTGAAAAATTCTTTAACGTTCAATAGCCCATTTATTAAAGAAGGCTACAGAGTACATAACATCACGCTTCGTCTAATAGGAGTTGAGCATCAATCAAAAATGTTTCACAAACGGGGAAAGTTTATTCCTAGCTGACTAACTAATTGTCTTTAAATAAATTTAACATCCAGTAATGTTACTGCGGCAGTCCCAGGAAAAGTTAAAATGTCTAAGCGAAATTAATCAGAAGTAAATTGTGTTAAATGTATAAAAGACAACTCCCGCATTAGGAATATATATCCTGTGTCGCGGGGGACTTTACAAACATACATGAAACGACACAAAGAACACCCAGACTCAGAACATCAATTTGTAGATCACACACAGTGTCGTCCCATGTGGGGATCGGACCCACAACACTCAGCGTAGTAGTAAGCGGCGTGGTGACCGCTTAAACCACTACGCCATCCGTGCAGTCAATTTACCTCTTTGGATATGGTTCCTTGAGGTGGAACGTTCGGTAGTGTAATTTCATATTGCTGGTCTGCTTAAATCGTTTATCGCATAGTGTGCAAGCCACGGGCTTCTCGCTCGTATGTGTCTGAAAAAAAAAAAACAATAATAAATAAACCTACATCACACAAAAAGTAACCTGAAGATTATTTATGAATCAAAATTTATAAAGGCCAATGAGCAGATGGGTGGTGGAATAACTGACGTCACTTGAGTCCCTCCCCCCAGAGTTAGAGAGAGAAATCTTGATAAGCAAATAGAAATTTACATCCGAACGAAGAACGAACACATTCCCAAGATTGGGCGTCATCAGGCAGACCGGCCGGTCATAAAAGAAAAAGCGTCTGCCCGAAATACGGCTAGAGTGAGAGAGGAGGAACCTGCCTACTGCTACCATATGCGTGAGAGAAAGGGAAGCCAGACAGACTGGCGCCGTAACGCGTTACGTAACCAAGCGGTTTACCCTCCCTTCGTAATGAAATGAAGGAGTGCGTGAAAGGGGATGTCGAGTGATCAAGGAGAATAGATGAAGAAAACCGCACAGACTGCAAATAGATGATGATGGTGTGGCGACTTTCACATACAAAGAAATATAAACATACTACAGTGCCATCTAAGACACACCGAACTACGGAGTAACTACTGAATAAGAATTGCTAATCCTGTATCACGATATGAAGAATTCTATCGCTGATTAGCATATAGAACTTCCCAACATCAACCGTTGGGCCGAAGCCCGCCAGGCATGATCACCTCGCCTGGTCAGAGGAGCCTTGTGGTGGAGGGACATGACACCCGTTTCTCCACAATGGGTATGGACCCGACGACCTCTGTATCGGCCATTAGGTACTGTACACAGAGCACTAGACGAAGGGGCTTAGAAGGGGTTGAAAAAAATATTTTATTTTCTGTAATACCTGCGTTAATATAGGTGGGTATAGCACTTCAGTATTAACTCACCAGCTGGTGTTTGGTCATGCCACCTTTGCTGTTGAACTGTCTGCCACAAGTGCTGCAGGAGTATAACTTCACCCGGGTGTGAGTGTTTAGATGACTGGAGACGCTGCCGGGCTGCAAATAACAAACATGGTAATTTGAGTGTCATATCAAATATATTCTCTTCGTTAAAGGTCAGTTTACAAGACACAGTCTTGTATTGTATTGTTACTTATATTATTCTTTAATTTTAATCATTAGCAGCCTTTAGAAGTACACTGCTGGACATAGGCCTGTTCTTAGAAAGGTTTTAGCCTACTATACCACGCTGGCCGGGTTGGTATAGGGTTTGTATCAAGTTTACTTTCCCTTTGCAGTGTTATTGTCGCGCGTAGTTTGCTCCCTTAGTCGGTTTTTACGAAATCCACGGGACGAATAGGGGTGGTGACACTTCATATTCTCAATCAATCTCAATCTCAATTTAATGTGTTTTTAAAAGAACTATAATTCTTTTTTGGACACAATAAGGTAGTTGACTGTGAAGTCGATTCCTCTTTATTAAACGTCAAGAAAGGACGTTCTGTAATACTTTGTATGAAGTTAAGAATTATGACGTAATACACAACTATCTCCAAATTATTTATTTAAAATGGATAATTATATTAATTATCTAATGTAAGCTATCGTTCCAGTAGAAAATATCATGCGTACGTGTCTCAAACAAAAACAACATATTCATCACACAATTATTAGTCCCGGGTGGGAATCGAACCCACGAGCTGTGGTTATCAGGGCCGGGTGCGGGTGAGCACTGACCGCCAGCGACATGCCGCAGATCTCGCAGATGTGGCGCTCGTTGGGCGCGAAGAAGGAAGTGCGCGGGTGCTCCGCCAGGTGGTGCTTGCGGCACGCCGCCTGCGTCGAGAAGTGCTTGCCGCACTGGGGAACGCAAGCCGATTAACACTTTAATACCGAGCCCTTAAAATACATTATAAGTATTACTACAGTTTATTCGCGTTAAGAAAATAGTGACGCATCGATCGAGAATCGACCCCTGGTCGATCAGATTCTAAGAAATTATTGTTTCGAATACTGATTGGTCAGGGTTCGAGGCTATTTTCTTAACGCGAACGGATTTTAGTTCTTCTATATTGTTGTGTTTTTTTTTTATGGGGCTAATCCCTCCCGAACACCCACCACTGTAACTCCTCTACGCCAGAAACGACAGCAGTGACCCACGAACACACCGAGTTATAACACTCGGGACATCCCAGGAAAAACTTAACTGTCTTGGAAATTCACTCTTTTTTTGTCTTGTGGGGAAATTCCTTCGGATACCACCCATCGATCGGATGATTATGTCGGACTCGAACCGACCAAAAACCGCACTCTGTGAGTACCCTAGAAAGGAAATTCACCCTAGTTGACACAAGATCCAAATAGTATACCGCCCAGATGACACCTGCAAACTATTCAGTGTTATATTACGTTGTTGTGTTTATAATATTACGTACAACATGACAATCGGTGGGTATGCGTGACAGCCTCTTCACATTGTGTCTTCGTTTCCTGAGGTTCGTTCCCAGCGGAACCTGTACTTCTAAATCTCTGTAAAATTAGAAACAACTTTTAGGATTCTATTTGAAATAGCAACACATGTCAAAACATGTTTCAGAAGCACACAAAAAAAATATTTTTAAGGCGAGTCGCGTTTCGTTAACTTACTCAATGCCGTCGACATGCATGGCCGAGTGAATGAGATGTTCCTCAAACGCCTTCTTCGTCTCAAACTTAATGTCGCATCGTTTGCAGTACTCCTCATCGCCTTGGTCACCTTGAGTGTCACCCTGTATAAAATATCATTAATAAGTGACGTCCGTGTGGTGACGGATTAAGAATATGAAGTGTCACCACGCCTATTTTTTTTTTTTATCGCCTTTCCCCGATCAAGAAGAATACATCAGGACCTTATTTGGCTATTTTTTTTACATGCATATCTGTCTATATATAGTTTTTCCACACTACTTTTCTAGTAGGGTGGGATTTACTCTACTCCGCGCTTGTGTATTGTATGTACGACATTTTATATCATTACTTTTCTAACATTTTACTAAGTTACATATTTCTTGTTTTGTGTCTATTATTGTATCTATCTGTTATATCTACTACTTTTAATATCATTACTTTTCTAACTTTTTACTGTGTTACATATTTCTTATTTTTATGTCTATTATTATGTCTATCTATTTATGTATATCTAATACATTTTATATCGTTACTTTTCTAACATTTTTGCTAAGCTACATCTTCCTTATTTTTATGTCTATTATTACATCTTATCTATTTTTATCTACTACATTTTATATCGTTACTTTTCTGATATTTTTACTAACTTACATTTTCTTATTTTTATGTCTATTATTATATGTATCTATTAATATTTACTACATTTTATGCGTTATGTGACAGGATCTGTGAGATGTGTCTGTTTTTGTACCTTCTATCCATTTTTCAAACACCTTTTATCTAGGCAATAACATATATAGACATAAGTTTATATATTTATTTACCGTTTCTTTTGCTGATTTTCATTTCATACCTGATTTTTTATTTATTTTTTTGTTTTGAGTTGCTATGTGTATTTCGTGTAGGTGTTTCTGTGCTGATATAATCGTGTATTATCAATATACATTATGTATATCAGATTGTCTTTGTGTTGTCATGTGTTACATGTTTATGTGTTTCGTGTTTGTGTTTCTGTGTTCGTGTGATTATATGGTCCTGTATATTTATTATACGTTCTTTATAATCGTTTGTGTTTGTGTTGCTGTGTGTTTCATGTTTGCTCGTGTCGTGGTTGTGTTTATGTGTGGTTTTATGTCTGTCTGTGAGTGTTGTGTAGTCTCCAGCGCGTGATTCATGCATAACTTGTATTTGCACGGGCCAGGTAATCCCACTTTTTCTAATTGGGCAGTCGACACTGAAAGCACTGTGGTCGGCTTTCTGCAACCCAGAGTGCGAACAGTTGAAGCACCGTGGCTCGTCTCCCGCAGCGAATTCCGCGCAGATGCGGTCCGCCGCAGTGACTACATCTGTCCACACTGTCGGTGCAAAATTTCTGGCCGTGGCCGAAAGCGAGGCACCTAGTACATTGGATGAGCGGAGACTGGTCCTGAACTCTGACCCTTTGCAGGTCCAGGTAGAGAGCACCAGCCTCCGTCATTCTCTGCCATACGTTCGGACCCACCTGAAGGATAATATGTCTTCGGATTTCTTGTTCGTTTCTTAAATGTTATTATTATTATTGTCTCTTCTTCAGGTAGGCCCGTAAAAATTTCTTTATTCTGTGCGTAAAGCGCCCCAATCATGTCCTCATCCTCACCCTCCAAAATATACGTCTTTTTATATTAAAGGGGTTTTTATTCCTCATTGGGGCCACTTTTAGTCCGTCCCCGCGACTCTCTATTTTCTTTTGGACTTTGGCCATCTCTTCCTTTGTGTCGCATCCCAGAATAACGGTTTGGTTTTTCGCTTTGCGGACTTTCGTGATTTTTAGCCCGGTGAATCTAGCGTCGACTGCCTTCTTTACCCTTTAGAGGACCTCATCTGCAGTCTCCTGTCCACCCTCAATGGTGACCGCCACCGAGTGGAGTGCAGGGCGGTGGGCGGGTATTGACGCTGCGGCGCTGGCGTACGTCTTAAGGACTGGTACTGGGGCCAAGTTGGCACACTTCAGTCCTTTGGCGACCTCGATAATTTCGTGCTTGGCTGCAACGACCTCCCCGGCAACACCGCCGACAAGATCTCTGAGGAGGTCGTGGGTTCGATCTTCAACGACATTGGCCGTTTGATCTCCCCCTTCACTTGCTTCCTCGATCCTGCCGGCGATCCTGCCTAGCAGGTCGGTGCACCGGTCGTTGGCACTGACATCGAGTCCCTGCAGTTCGGTCTGGATCGTACGCTCCATTTCACAGATCCGCTCGGTCAGCGCCTTCTCTATCTCTCCCAGCCGCTTTAGGACGTCCTCATGCCCAACGGGCGACACGGTCCTTGAACGGCGCCCCTGCTGCTTGACCTTCGGCTTCGGGTCTCTGAATACGACTGCTGAGCTCGAAGAGTGATCGTAGTCCTTTGTCGGATTGCTCCTCCAAGTACTGTTTTATATCCCTCCTCATCTGGGGGTATTGCTGAATTTTTGAGGGTATATCCTCGAGGATGTTCATCAGCCCCTGGAGGAGCTGATCGCTCGTTATTTCAGCGTAGATTTGTTGCTTCTTTTTGTAGGTCTCCATATTTTCGAGCGATCTCCGTTTGGTGTTTGGCCTTTTGATGAAGGTTTTGGCAGCGTGCTGCACTGCCGCAGTTGCACCACTCCTATTCATCCAAACAATGTGTCACGCAAACATCCCCAATGTGTTACAGAAGCGAAGCAGCAAGCAGCAAGGCAAGGGAGCCAGGATAAAAGATACCGATTGTCGACTGCACGGATAGCGTAGTGGTTAAGGCGGTCGCTACGCCGCTTCCTAGTACGTCGAGTGTTGTGGGTTCAAACTCCACATGGGACGACACTTTGTGTGATCCACAAATTGTTGATCGAGTCTGGGTGTTCTTTATGTCCAGTTCATGTATGTTTGTAAAGTCCCCAGCGACACAGGATATATTCCTAATGCGGGAGGTGTCTTTAAAATTATAATTAACATACCGGTTCAGCGTTGACGTGTTTGATCTTCTTGTGTATCCGCAGGCCGATGGCGCTGACGAAGGACGCGCCGCACAGCGTGCACACGTGCTCGCTGCGGTGCGTTCGCAGGTGCGTGTAGTACGTCGTTAGATGTCTGGGAGAACGTTTATACCTTGATGGAAGTTGTTAAAACCATCACCTAATCTTCCTAGCCTAACGAAATCATGTGGAGATTCTAATTTCAAAATATTTTCTTAAAATAGAATTCAGAAATACTAAGTATTATAATAAAAACTCTTCTGTATCATTAGTAATCAATAATTTTAATCTATCCATGTGGTGACAGATTTAAAATACGGGGTGTGACCACCCCTATGCAGAGCTAAGAGCCGACTAAGGGAGCAAACTATGCAGGAGAACAGCACTGGAAAGAGAAGGAAAACTTGACACAAACCCTATACCGACCCGTCTGGTCAGCATGTTATAGTAGGCCAAAACCTCCTTTCTAAGGAGAAGGCTTTGTGTCCAGCAGTGGAGTATTGAGGCTGTTGATGGTTTTACGACAATAAATTGAAATCGCAGTACATTAAAATTTACATCATCATCGTTCCTTGTGATAATCCCGTGAGTATCTAGTCTTCTATATATGCTAGTAATCTACAACTTCTGTATTACTGTATGCATGAGTACATATTTGATAGTTCTGCAGTCCGCTATAGAAATAATAGTTCAAACAATAATGAACTTACTTAAATTCCTCTCCACAATGTTCACATTTTCTTGTAACTCCATTATGGTATTCTTCGTGGAACAATGCTGTTTGTCTAAAAGGTAAAACTTTCAATAATGTTGATATATATACAGATAAATATTTTAGGCTTTTAATATTTGCAACAATAAAACGGGACCTAAAATAATGCCTTGTGGTACACCAAATCAATCTTCTTTTACTTTACTTAATAACTGTTTCTGTGTGATTTATTTACTTTGAAATGATGTTTTGTAGTACTTATATTGGATAAACCTTTTACATATCAAAGCTAACTATATATTAGAATTTTGAATATGATTCATAAGGTCAAAAGCTTTAGACAAAGCTAAGAAACCAGAAAACTATGTACACCTTTTTGATTTAGTCGTTCATTATTATACATTACTTGCATAACGCCCGGTACAATGAGCCCATATTGATACACCCCCTGTGCCTCTCAGATTCGTTGCAGGAGCGTAGTAGCGTAAACAAATATAACCTTTTTTTGAGACAGCCGGTACATATTTATTTTAATATAAAAAAAGAGAAAAATAACAACATCCTCATATTACTGACTGCTATTTTTTGTAATGGATTCTGTTATATATAAAACATGTAAGTTTGATACTCATCACGCTATAAATACGTCTTCATGGATTTGAGTAAAATTTGGTACAAAGATAGATTTATAGTATGAAATAGCATATAAGGTAATTTTATCTCGAAAAAAAAGACTAAATTGATAATAACGCAAGTGTAGCAGCGGGTAAAAACTAGTTTCTTTATATAGAAGTATATACATAATGGTTAACTAAACAATACTTACTCCAACGGACATACAAGTTCACATCGTAAACATTTGAATTTCGTATAATGTTGTCTCATGTGTTTTCTTAGGAAGCATTTCCATTTAAACCTCATGTGGCAAAAACGACATTCGATAGGACCTACTGACTGGAAACAAGGAAATAAAGGATATTAATGACCTTTATCCAAGATATGTGTGAAAAAAATCAGATTTAGGATTGAACTCAGCCATCAGCAATGCATAATCATCTTAGGATACAACTGAAAAAGGGAGGAAGGTTTTTTGGTTACTTGCATCTTTCTAAACGTCTAAAAGACTTACCTCACTATGCCTTAATTTAATATGCCTATTTAACATATCTTCCTTCGAAAATCCTTTAAGGCAATCATTACATTTGAATTCAGCAGATATAAATCTTTTATGCTGTGCCCTGGCTTTAAATTCTTCTATTGCTTCCTCTTCACTTAAATTAAATTTTAACCAGTTATTGGAATCCAATTCAGTCTTTTTTTTACTAGTAATTTCAAACTTCTTTGCTTTCTTATCTGTATCCTCATCATTTCCTTTCTTTTTCTTTTTACTACCCTTTGTACTCTTTTTCTTTTTTGGAGTAACTTGCAAAGGTTTCTTTTCTACAAGTTCTTCATCCGATGATAGTTTAATATCATTTACAAATACTTTTTCTTCATCACTTTCCAGTTTTTCATCTTCAGTAAATATTTTTTCAATTTCTATTATATTTGAAGTATCTGATATTTTTTCTTCATTAATATTTGTCTTTTCTTCGTCAACGTTTATCTCTTTATGAACAATATCTTGTTTTTCATCATCAACCTCTGTTTTCTCTTCAACATAAACATCAGCGTTAACATTTACCTTCTCTTCTTCAGCATCTATTTTCTCTTCATCATCTTCAATCTTTTTGTTCACATCAACCAACTCTGGTAATGGGGGAAGTTTTTCTGCTTCGTTTTCCAAATTCATATAGTCATCATAATCACTTAAAGATGCAGTATCTAAATCAAACTCTATTGGTTCTGTTTTATTTAGATTTGGTTTTTCTTTTGATTTCACAATAAATGTTTTTACTCTGTGGTTAACTGTAATAATATTTAATGATGATTGGAGATACTTATTCTGTTTCTCTATATACCTAACCGATTTCAGGCTGATCTGGAAAATGCATAGCGAAGTATGTAGTTTATTTATTTGATATAGTAGCAAACAAGCACATGGGTCAGTTGATGGTAAGTGACTACCGCCGCCCATGGACACCTGCAACTCTTCACAAGAAAATTACTACTCTTTTAGTGCCACATTGCCAAAATTTGGTGGGTTTGGGCTTTCCGTAACTTCACCCAGTGAAAAGCAACAAAAGGATTGCTTGAGCTGGCCGATATGTGCCAAAACCTGGCTCCATCACAGCAAAAGTTATAATAACTAGCTACAAACAAAGCTGTAACAAATTTGCACTTTGGGATTGTACAAGGTGTCTCAAAAGAAAGTTTATATTTAGTAGATCGATTAAAAAAAAAGTAAGCAGTCTATCGAAAAAATGTTTATTAATTATTAAAGTACACAATTTGGGCATTTATTTCTTAAAAATAATATCCTCCAAATGTAGACCCTCGCGTTCGCGGCACTCATTTAATTAAACAGTAAAATTACTTATGACGGCTCGGCAGGTGGACTCAGTGATAGCTGCCATTTTGTGACGGATATTTTCTTTCAAATGCGCCAGGGAAGTCGGTTTATTCGCGTGAACTTTAGATTTAAGATAACCCCATAGGAAAAAGTCCATAGGGGTTAAATCAGGACTGCGTGGAGGCCAATTTATGTCACCTCTCCTGGAGATCAATTTTCCTGAGAAAATTTCACGAACTCGTGGCAGAGACGTATTGGACGTGTGTGACGTTGCTCTGTCCTGCTGGATCCATGTTCTTTAGTTATGGCCAGGCAAGTTTTTCAGTTCAGGCGCCAAGAAGTCGTTTAACATCTCCACATAACGCTCTGAATTCACTGTAACTGCACGCCCCCATTCGTCTTCAAAAAAGTAAGGGCCGATAATTCCTCGCGCCGACATCGCAGTCCATAGTTTCACTTTAGGCAATTCTGCTTATTTACTTGTCCATTAACAAGAAAATGAGCTTCATCCGAAATCAAGATGTTGGTAAACGTTGAAAAGCGCTCAATCGCCTGATTTACGAAGTCAAGCCTCTGACTGGCATCTTGGGGCTTTAATTTTTGCACCAATTGAATTTTGTAGGGGTGCAGCTTTAGGTCTTTGTGTAAAATGCGGTGTAATGATGATCTATGCACATTTAAAGCACTTGCGCGCTTCCGAATTGAAAGGTTCGGGTCGTCACGAACAGACTGATTAACACTCTCCACGTTTTCTACCGTTCTTGATGACCTTGGTCGCCTGGATTTTGGTTTTTCCAGCGTTGTACCGGTCTCTTCAAACTTTGTGACCCATTTTCGAATAAGAGGAATACTTGGCGCATCATTTAAATGGCGAAAACCTCGAACGTCAAATCGCCGTATTTGTAAAACTCTCGCACGCACAACTTACGGTCTGCTCCCGAGAAACGCTCCATAGCAACTGAATTCCCAAGAGCCAGGCTACCGATTGACATAACCCCCGCGCCCCTCGGACTCGTTGCGTTCACGCAGTAAGCTAAACAAATATAAACTTTCTTTTGAGACACCTTGTACTACGAAAGAGAAGGAAAACATAAAACCAACCCTTTTTTTTTTTTTTTAACGTGTGGAAATCCCCTCGGACCGTCACCAAACCAGGGTTTGCGGCGGGGTGGTGTGTCGGACTCGGACCGACTAAAACCACACGGTGTGCCACTCTGCGCCTGTAATAGGAGGGATCCGGGAACAGCTGTTGTTAAGACATCCGGACCCCTCCTAGCGCCTGCCCGCTCCTGGTGCGGGCTCCGTCTCAAAAATTTTAACCTCTCTTTAGGCGACGTCCCGCACACGCGGACGCCGCCCCCTCGCGGCTGGCCAAACAAATGCGGGTGGAGGGGAAACCCACCCCGTCCACCCGCGGCCACACTCAGGGCGGCATGAGGCGGTGATAAGCGCGCCTCCGCCGCCCGGTTCGCCGGCGGCGGATCGGGTCCGAGTGGAGGTCATTCTCCCGGGCCTTCTCCGCCGCCTCCTTCTGCGAGATTACTTCCTCGCAGAAGGTTGCGACCGCGGTAAAACAACTGTCGCTACCGGCCATGGAGCGTACTACGGCCGGTAGCGACTGCAGTGAGGGCCCGGCGCTGCGTCGCCCATGCGGGGCAGACCGCCAGCGTGTGCTGGGCCGAGTCCTCACTGCAGTCGCAGTGGTGGCAGGCGGGACTCAGTTCCCTCCTAGCGACCGAGTGCAGGTACTTTCCGAAGCAACCGTGCCCGGAAAGCACCTGCGTCAGCCGGAAGGTAAGGGTCCCGTGCTGCCGCCCTGCCCACTCGGCTATGACCGGCTGGAGAGCCTACACGGCGGCGAAGCCAGCGCGTGGAGTCTCCAGCCGGAACGACCAACGAGCCATCGTGGCTCGGCGAGCGGCTTTGCGCCACGGGCCAAGGGCCCAGTCGTACCCTATGTTCCACAAGAGGGGTCCAAGAACAGACCCCTGTGGAACACCGCACGACATGGGCCGACACCTCAAATCACCATCTCGGTCCTCGTACACGACGGTACGCTCCTCTAAATAGTCTGCCACTAGCCGCCTCAGGTACTTTGGCACCCCATGATAGTGGAGTGCTTCCCTGATGCAGCTGAATGGCAGACTATTGAATGCGTTGGCGATGTCTAATGACACCGCCAACAGCACGCCGCCACAGCTAACGGCCTCTTTGGTCACGGCCCTCAGGCGCAAAACAGCGTCGACTGTCGAACGCCCCGCCCGAAAACCAAATTGGGCGTCCGACAGATCGGGGCCCACCTCGTAGAGGTGCCGGACGATGCGGGCAGAGAGAACCCTCTCAAACAATTTACCCGCCTCGTCCAGCAGCACGATGGGCCTGTAGGCCGCGACCGAATCGGCAGGCCGTCCCGGCTTCCTTAATAGGACCAGCTTCCGCTCTTCCAGCACTCAGGGAAACGTCCCGACGCCAAGCTAGCGTCGAACACCTCCCCGAGGCGGTCTGCCATGTGGTTGAGGCTAGGGCCAGCACTCGGGCGGTACCCCGCTGGCCAGGCGGTCTGGACGGATCCGTAGAGCCGATGAGGGCCAATGCCCGTTGCCAAGGGGCCACGCGGGAGGTTTTCTACAAAGTTTTTTTCAAATTTCCTTTTTTTTTTTTTTAAAATGAGGTTTAATACTTTTAAAAATACTTTTTCTTCATCACTTTCCAGTTTTTCATCTTCAGTAAATATTTTTTCAATTTCTATTATATTTGAAGTATCTGATATTTTTTCTTCATTAATATTTGTCTTTTCTTCGTCAACGTTTATCTCTTTATGAACAATATCTTGTTTTTCATCATCAACCTCTGTTTTCTCTTCAACATAAACATCAGCGTTAACATTTACCTTCTCTTCTTCAGCATCTATTTTCTCTTCATCATCTTCAATCTTTTTGTTCACATCAACCAACTCTGGTAATGGGGGCAGTTTTTCTGCTTCGTTTTCCAAATTCATATAGTCATCATAATCACTTAAAGATGCAGTATCTAAATCAAACTCTATTGGTTCTGTTTTATTTAGATTTGGTTTTTCTTTTGATTTCACAATAAATGTTTTTACTCTGTGGTTAACTGTAATAATATTTAGTGATGATTGGAGATACTTATTCTGTTTCTCTATATACCTAACCGATTTCAGGCTGATCTGGAAAATGCATAGCGAAGTATGTAGTTTATTTATTTGATATAGTAGCAAACAAGCACATGGGTCACTTTATGGTAAGTGACTACCGCCGCCCATGGACACCTGCAACTCTTCACAAGAAAATTACTGCTCTTTTAGTGCCACATTGCCAAAATTTGGTGGGTTTGGGCTTTCCGTAACTTCACCCAGTGAAAAGCAACAAAAGGATTGCTTGAGCTGGCCGATATGTGCCAAAACCTAGCTCCATCACAGCATAATAATCAATCAAGTTATAATAACTAGCTACAAACAAAGCTGTAACAAATTTGCACTTTGGGATTGTACTACGAAAGAGAAGGAAAACATGAAACCAACCCTTTTTTTTTTTTTTAACGGGTGGAAATCCCCTCGGACCGTCACCCCACCGGGGTTTGCGGCGGGGTGGTGTGTCGGACTCGGACCGACTAAAACCACACGGTGTGCCACTCTGCGCCTGTAATAGGAGGGATCCGGGAACAGCTGTTGTTAAGACATCCGGACCCCTCCTAGCGCCTGCCCGCTCCTGGTGCGGGCTCCGTCTCAAAATTTTTAACCTCTCTTTAGGCGACGTCCCGCACACGCGGACGCCGCCCCCTCGCGGCTGGCCAAACTAATGCGGGTGGAGGGGAAACCCACCCCGTCCACCCGCGGCCACACTCAGGGCGCAATGAGGCGGTGATAAGCGCGCCTCCGCCGCCCGGTTCGCCGGCGGCGGATCGGGTCCGAGTGGAGGTCATCCTCCCGGGCCTTCTCCGCCGCCTCCTTCTGCGAGATTACTTCCTCGCAGAAGGTTGCGACCGCGGTAAAACAACTGTCGCTACCGGCCATGGAGCGTACTACGGCCGGTAGCTAGAGATCCACTCCGATGACTGCAGTGAGGGCCCGGCGCTGCATCGCCTATGCGGGGCAGACCGCCAGCGTGTGCTGGGCCGAGTCCTCACTGCAGTCGCAGTGGTGGCAGGCGGGACTCAGTTCCCTCCTAGCGACCGAGTGCAGGTACTTTCCGAAGCAACCGTGCCCGGAAAGCACCTGCGTCAGCCGGAAGGTAAGGGTCCCGTGCTGCCGCCCTGCCCGCTCGGCGATGACCGGCTGGAGAGCCTCCACGGCGGCGAAGCCAGCGCGTGGAGTCTCCAGCCGGAACGACCAACGAGCCATCGTGGCTCGGCGAGCGGCTTCGCGCCACTCGCGCACATCTTCGGGCGGAGGGCGAAATCCGCTCTCCGCCCGGGAGTCAGCCACTCGCCGATAAACTTCGGCGAGCACTTCCGCCTCCAAATCCCACGGGGGGGTTCCGGCCAACGCGCACGCCACCTCCGTCGAAACGGTGCGGTAACCGCGTATGGCTTTGACCGCCTGAGGGCCTTACCCTCTGAGGGCGCCAGAGGCGTGCCCTATTCTGGGCGGTCAGAGCCGCCGCCCACACCGGTGCACCGTATAGTGCCATTGACCGGACAACCCCCGTGTACAGCCGACTTGTCGCGACGCTGGGTCCACCCAAATTGGGCAAAAGTCGCCCTAGGGCAGACGCAGCGCCGACCAGCTTTGGAGCAAGCTGTCGGAAGTGCTCGTCGAAGAGCCACCTCCCGTCGAGGATCAGCCCCAGATATTTCATCTGGGCCCGAACCAGTACGAGGACCGAGTTGACCACGATTGAGGCGCCAGGGGGTGGACCACGACGGGGCCCATGAAATAACAGAGCCTCCGTCTTATCTAGGGCCCCCCGTAAGCCCAGCGCCTCAAGGCGCTTGACCACCAGGGAGACTCCCCTTGTGGCCAGGCGCGCCGCCTCTTGGAAATTCGCCCCCCGGGCTGTAACCAGAGTATCATCTGCGTAACAAATTGCACCCAGCCCGGGTAGGAAATCGGCTCGAAGGGCCCAGTCGTACCCTATGTTCCACAAGAGGGGTCCAAGAACAGACCCCTGTGGAACACCGCACAACATGGGCCGACATCTCAAATTACCATCTCGGTCCTCGTACACGACGGTACGCTCCTCTAAATAGTCTGCCACTAGCCGCCTCAGGTACTTTGGCACCCCATGATAGTGGAGTGCTTCCCTGATGCAGCTGAATGGCAGACTATTGAATGCGTTGGCGATGTCTAATGACACCGCCAACAGCACGCCGCCACAGCTCACGGCCTCTTCGGTCACGGCCCTCAGGCGCAAAACAGCGTCGACTGTCGAACGCCCCGCCCGAAAACCAAATTGGGCGTCCGACAGATCGGGGCCCACCTCGTAGAGGTGCCGGACGATGCGGGCAGAGAGAACCCTCTCAAACAATTTACCCGCCTCGTCCATTAGCACGATGGGCCTGTAGGCCGCGACCGAATCGGCAGGCTGTCCCGGCTTCCTTAATAGGACCAGCTTCCCGCTCTTCCAGCACTCAGGGAAACGTCCCGACGCCAAGCTAGCGTCGAACACCTCCCCGAGGCGGTCTGCCATGTGGTTGAGGGCTAGGGCCAGCACTCGGGCCGGTACCCCGTCTGGCCCAAGGGGCGGTGTTCTTGGAACGGATCCGTAGAACAGCCGCCCCTACCTCCGAATCCCGGACGGGCGGAACATCATCCCCCTCGTGCTCCCCGTCGTCTCCGGCCAAGGAGGCCATCGCCGGGGGAGTGTGCTCCGCCCGCTGCGGGAAAAGGCCCTCAACCACTTCCTGCAGGAAGCTGGGCTGGAGAGTCTCCGTAAGGGGGGGGCCCGACGCGCGGAGCTTTTGTCGCACCGCGCGATAAGGGCGACCCCAGGACATAAAACCAACCCTTTTTTTTTTTTTTTTTTTTTTTTTTTTTTTTCAACGTGTGGAAATCCCCTCGGACCGTCACCCCACCGGGGTTTGCGGCGGGGTGGTGTGTCGGACTCGAACCGACTAAAACCACACGGTGTGCCCTCTTTGCGCTTCCAGTTTAGGAGGGGTCCTAAACTGGAAGCGCAAAGAGGTCGTCCTCCCGGGCCTTCTCCGCCGCCTCCTTCTGCGAGATTACCTCCTCGCAGAAGGTTGCGACCGCGGTAAAACAACTGTCGCTACCGGCCATGGAGCGAATTACGGCCGGTAGCGAGAGATCTGCTCCGATGACTGCAGTGAGGGCCCGGCGCTGCGTCGCCCATGCGGGGCAGACCGCCAGCGTGTGCTGGGCCGAGTCCTCACTGCAGTCGCAGTGGTGGCAGGCGGGACTCAGTTCCCTCCTAGCGACCGAGTGCAGGTACTTTCCGAAGCAACCGTGCCCGGAAAGCACCTGCGTCAGCCGGAAGGAAAGGGCCCCGTGCTGCCGCCCTGCCCACTCGGCGATGACCGGCTGGAGAGCCTCCACGGCGGCGAAGCCAGCGCGTGGAGTCTCCAGCCGGAACGACCATCTAACCATGGTGGCTCGGCGAGCGGCTTCGCGCCACTCGCGCACGTCTTCGGGCGGAGGGCGAAATCCGCTCTCCGCCCGGAAGTCAGCCACTCGCCGATAAACTTCGGCGAGCACTTCCGCCTCCAAATCCCACGGGGGTGTACCGGCCAAGGCGCAAGCCGCCTCGGTGGACACCGTGCGGTATCCGCGTATGACATAAAACCAACCCTATACCAACCTGTCTGGCCAGCGTGGTATAGTAGGCCAAAATCTCTTTTCTAAGGAGAGGCCTTTATCCAACAGTGGACTAGTAAAGGCTGTTAATAATGATGATGAATTGTACTATGTGTACTTACAGGCCCTTTCTGAAGAAGTTCTTGTAATACTTTGTGACCGTTGTAGCATTTCTCCTTAAACTTGTGGAACTTGTGCAGTATTGCTGCACATTCGTAACAAAAGTGTCTTGGAAAGGCATCTCTTTCATTTATCTGTAAAGAATTTTTGTTGTTCAATATTCAAAACTCATTTGATAAGTAGAGTATTTTGCAATCTGTAAAAATAGTAGCTTTTTTGTGTTTATTGCTTGCTATTTTAAAATGGTTTCGATGGCTGGTTGTGTTCTCATATACAGCTATCAATACTAAAAGTATTCGTAGACAACGTTAAAAAATTGAGTCAGCCTGTGCAACCTGGTTGTAAGATTAGGCAATTCCTGATTCCTTCTCTATGTAATACGACCGGATGGCATAGTGGTTTGTGTAACGGACTGCTATTCCAAAGGTTGCGGGTTCACTTCCCGCTCAAGTCAAACATTTGTGTGCATGAACATTTAATGTTTGATTTGGTCTGGGTGTTTCTTTGTATAATATCTATTATGTGTAATATATGTATTTATATCAGTTCAAATAATCAATTTTTGAACTGAATATAACCTTTTCTCTAGTGGATCAAGTTTTCTTTTATGGCTTGCATTACAGTTATGTTCCTATCCTTAGGTAATAGTATGTTATTTCTGAATAATTATGAATTTATATTTACTCTTTTTAGGGGTGCAGCCCTAACAATGTTAATATAATTTCATGGTAATCACAAAAAAACAAACAAACCCACATACATATTTTATAGTTTTAATAATAAAGACTATCTTTCATGTGTGTTTTTTTTGAAAAGAAGAAGGCAGTCACTATGGTAGTTCATAAATTCTACCTATTACCAATTTATTATTGTTGAATGTTTTAAGATTTCTGACATAAGTTACTGAAAGACTCTTTAAGTAAATCTTATTACACAAAGTATTTTCTAAACTTTTGTACCCAAGAATTACAAAACCAGAGCAATAATAATTCTAGAGTATCTTATGATACTATTCATCGCAATGATCAGTTATGAAGCAAAAAAAAACAAAAACAATTGTACAATTCTTACTTTTGAGCCCACAATTTGTTCGTAATATTTCTTGAGATCATAGCGATCATATTTGTACAATTTTATACCACTGCTAAGGCATATACGACAAATTTTGAGACCAGGCATTTGGCTTTATTTATTGAAATCATTAGCTTATAATAAGTAGAATACGAATAGGGTACACTTATAACAATGTATGACAGACAATTGACATATCAACACCAACATTCAGGGATGTTAGATTGTGGTTAGTGTTGCCAGGGCCCTTGAGTAGTAAGTTACGTTTCGTTTCTCCTGAAATGTTACATTTTTGCTGAAAAAGTTACAATATTGCTTTTTTAAATTTATTACTTACTAAGGCGTGTGTTGAAGCACATGTGATAAACTTACTTGTTCCTTTTTTAGTCTTAATAACACAATAATCATCATTAATAAGTAAAAAAGGAAAAATAAATTATAGTTAAAAAAACCTAAAAACAAAAAAAACGCTTTTACTAGCCGAACTAAAAGGTAGGAAATATTTACCTGTAAGTTCAAAAAGAAAAATCGCTTTTTTGTGAAAAAAAAGCGCGCGTGCTTTTCAAATTATTGCCCTCGTTTTCCCTGGGATCCTATCATTAGATCGTCACAATGAGACAACCTCAGCACTATGCTCTTTCTAATAAAAAATCATTTTGGAAATTGGTCTACAATTGACGGAGTAATCGGTGAACATACATAAAAAGAAATACATACAGTGGAACATAGAGACATAATTACTTCACCTGACACCACATTAGTAGTATTAGTAGCATCTACATTGCTTAAACAATAAACACATACTCAAAAACGTGCCTTAAATATCCACGACAATTTTTGGAACGGAGTTCCTTATCGCTCGTTACACGTTTTGAGCGGATGATCGGAAGGGCTAAACCGAAAAAAAGTGTGACAAGACTTTTTTCCGACACTTTTACTTGTTATAGCACGTACGATTTTAATGCGATTTAGACAGAGTGATTCACACCAGTGACATCAGACTGCCATCAGACCTCCACAATCCAAGTACTAGGCGATATCGAAGTTCTGTAGATACCGATTTTGGATGTTTAGGGCTCCGACGATTGCCACAGATTTTCTTATGGCAACCAGGACCGATGCCTGAACGTGCTCTCCGAGATGCGGAGGTTATCTCAATGTGTTAAGAATGGTCACCCATCCATAGACTGCTTTACCTAGCAACGTGCTAACATACTAGGTTACCTTATAGTAAGGATGAAATTTTAAATCTGTAGATTTTAAATTAAAAAGATTTAAAGTATTCCATATATTTATTTATTTATAGCATTCCGCGGAGTACTCATCAGAACATTCACTTATATCTTCTCTCTCTTGAACAGCTATACTCTCCTTTTTTCTTATCCTGAAAAGAAAAAAATATTAAATGACCAGAATATTGTAACCACTTAGAATAGGATATTAAAAAATCTTTTCAACACCGTGAAAAAGTAACCACCGTGTTATTACGTCATACTGCTATGTAAACTGAAAGGAATCAGTGTCGACTTTCAACTGATCGTATTTAGCTTGTCATAATTGATATTTTTTTGTCGTTGGGAGGGCCTGGAGATCTGTCATACTGGTTTCGAGCCTAGTATAGACTCCAGATCAAACTAATCAACTTTAAATTGTTTTATTTAAATACATGTAATTACGATACTCTGTAACTTACTGTACATTATGAAAGAAATAACGTTATTATTATTTGTTTACACAGCTAACTGACGTCATGATGACGGAGCTATATGGTGTCCACTGCGTCTAGCGTTTTTGTCAAAATAAAAGAATTTGAAAATTTAAATGCATTTTTCTGGCACTAATCGATTGAATAAAAAGTATTTTTTTAAGTGTTTTTAAACATTTTAGAATTTATTTGCGATACTTCAAAATAGCTGTAATACCCTATTGGGTAAAATTGGTGCAAAAGGAAAGTGATGTAGGCATCAGCTGTAAAGTACAATCATTTTTATCAACAGCCTTTAATAGTCCACTGCTGGACATAGGCCTCTCCTTAGAAAGGAGGTTTTGGCCTACTATACCACGCTGGACATACGGGTTGGTATAGGGTTTGTGTCAAGTTTGTCTTCCCTTTACAGTGCTATTGTCGTGCGTAGTTTGCTCCCATATTCGGCTCTTACGACACCCACGGGATGAGTAGGGGTGGTGACAAGCAATCTTATAAATTCAATATTAAATCCGGACACTGTGCGCTTCTCAAGACACTTTTTGCCTGGCACTACCAATTATTGGAACAAGTTGACGGCTGCAGTATTTCTGGACCGAAACGACCCAAGCCTTCAACAAAGTGCAGGAAGTCTGAGTTGCAGGCGTTCATGGGCTGCGGTGGACGCTCCCCATCGGGTGACCCGTCTGCTGGTTTGCCCCCTATTCCATAAAAATAAATGTTATCCAGAACCTTCCTTACCTCTTCGGATAGGGTTGTTTTAAATGAAATGTCCGATGATGCAGCTGCATACTGGTTTTCTGCGTGAATCGTTTTTCGCACAGCGGACACTTGAATGGTTTCTCACCAGTGTGTGTCTGAAAATAAACTAGTTTTATAGATACAGGGTGAGGAGTTAGGATGGAGACAAAACTTCTGATAGCCCGAGACATGAGGCTTTGAGTCACAACACACTTCGATTTGACACTGGCAGTTACTATAAGACCATTTTATGAGCAAAAACTGTGTGAAAGGCCTTAGAGAAGGCAATATTATACGCATTATAAGTTCCACAGCCTCCTCTATCTTATTCACACAGGCACTTGCACACACACACACACACACACACACACACGCACACACACACACACAAAGAGACAGAGATACAGACAGGCAGACACATGCACGCGCATACGCACGCACTCACGCACACGCACACACACACACGCACTCATTATCTTTTGTAACAATCAGGACTAGTTCTAATAGTTATTACTAATGCTATGACAAAATAACTTTACCAACTGATGTCTGGTGAAGCTAGTTAAGTAGAAGAACTGCGCGCCGCACGTCTGACAAGAGTATATTTTCTCTTTGGTGTGAACGTTCATGTGTATTCCAATGGCACCACCCTACAGCACAATAAATCAATATAAATGTATTAAATCTATATGTGGGACAACAATGTTTTGGCACAAAGGGCAGGTTCTCACAGAAAACCGGTGTTAAAGAATTCTTGAGACGTGTAAGTGAGGTTTCCGGTGGTTAGCTATCCTGACTGCTAAGCCACAGGTTCGGGTTCGATTTCCACCCAGGAAAATAATTGTGTGATGAGCACGTTCTGTGTCCGGCTGTAACTTATCTATATGTATGTGTTTAGAAATATATAAGTATGTTAAAGAAAATAAAATAAAATAAAAATAATAATACAATTAATAATAAAATAATATTAATAATAAAATTTATTTATTTATTTATTTTAAAGAAAATAAATAAATAAATGTTTATCAGCAGTCTGGTTACCATAGTATAGGCTCTGACTAGTTTTTTAAAATTAATTATAAACCTACATAGATAGAAGGAATAGAGAAGACAGAATGAAGTTGTTATTTACCTTGACAGTAACTCCACAGACTTCACAGACCTGTGTGACGTCACAAGGCACTGGGACACCCTTGTGTTCTGCCCGATGGTGCTTCACATACTGAGAATAGCTTCGAAACAGTTTCTCACACTGAGAATATTACAAAAAAAAATATTAAAAAAACTAGTATTTTTTATAAACATTATGTGTACTGTCGCAGTTTAGTACTTCATGAACAGCCTTTGCTGGTCCACTGCTGGACATGGACCTCTCCTTAGAAAGGAGGTTTTGGCTGGCCTATTACCACGCTGGCCAGACGGGTTGGTATAGGGTATGTGTCAAGTTTTCCTTCTCTATGTAGTGCTGTTGTCCTGTGCAGTTTGCCCCCTTAGTCGGCTCTTACGACACCAACAGGATGAATAGGGGTGGTGACAATCTGTATTCTTAATGCGTCACCACACGGACTCTTAGTGCTTATTATTAATATTAAGTATATGAGAGAGACATCCATAAACTACGTCACAGGTTGAGGAGGTGGAAGGGATCAAGAAAGAGACATTGTGTAACAAAAGACGGGTTATAAGAAACTTGAAATCACATGTCTAAATTAAAAAAAAAAAAACTGTATTCTATTAAATAGTTCTCGTTCGCAAGTAGCGGCTTACAACATCCGTAGGATCCAACATAATATTTTATTAATTAGTTTTTAAGTTTAGAATATTTAATATATTTTATAAAAAGTTGAATGTTACCGCTTAAGACAAGAAGAGAGGGAACAAAATAATTATAAAATTGACGTAATTTATGGATGGCCCTGAGGAAAGTTTTTTTTTATATTTTTCTTTTTTTTTTAAAAGACAACTCCTACACTAGGTATATATCCTATGTCGCGACACACATACATGAAAACCTTTACAAACATACATGAAAAGTACACAAAGAACACCCAGCCTCAGAACAGCAATTTGTGGATCACACAAAGTGTCGTCCCATGTGGGATCGAACCCACAACACTCAGTGTGAAGCAGCGAGGTGACCGCTTAAATCACTATGCCATTAGTGCAGTCAATTAATGGTGACTTACCACCGGACACGTTGTAGGACGAGACGAATTCACTCGAGTGAACGTTTTTGCAGCTCCCCCTTTTAATGGCGCTGGTGCATCGCTGATGCTTGAAAACATATGCTTGTTTTATTATCAACAATGCAATATTATCTAAACTTTTAATACTGTAGAGACGCTTTTCCAACTTCTTAACCCTTAAATGCATGATGATGTATATATACATCAGTGTTTTATAAATCCAATATTAAATCTGGACACTGTGCGCTTCTCAAGACACTTTTTGCCTGGCACTACCAATTAGTGGAACAAATTGTCGGCTGCGGTATTTCCGGACCGAAACGACCTTCAAACCTTCAAGAAAAGAGCGTACTCCTTCCTCGAAGGCTGGCAACGCGCTTGTGACTCCTGAGTTGCAGGCGTTCATGGGCTGCGGTGGACGCTCCCCATCGGGTGACCCGTCTGCTCGTTTGCCCCCTATTCCATAAAAATAAATGTTATCCAGGACCTTCCTTACCTCTTCGGATAGGGTTGTTTTAAATGAAATGTCCGATGATGCAGCTGCATACTGGTTTTCTGCGTGAATCGTTTTTCGCACAGCGGACACTTGAATGGTTTCTCACCAGTGTGTGTCTGAAAATAAACTAGTTTTATAGACACAGGGTGAGAAGTTAGGATGGAGACAAACTTCTGATAGCCTGAGACATGAGGCTTTGAGCCACAACACACTTTGAGTTGACACTGGCAGTTACTATAAGACCATTTTATGAGCAAAAACTGTGTAAAAGGCCTTAGAGAAGGCAATATTATACGCATTATAAGTTCCACAGCCTCCTCTATCTTATTCACACAGGCACTTGCGCACACATACACACACACACACACACGCACACACACACACACAAAGAGACAGATATACAGACAGGCAGACATGCACGCGCATACGCACGCACGCACTCACGCACACACACACACGCACTCATTATCTTTTGTAACAATCAGGACTAGTTCTAATAGTTATTACTAATGCTATGACAAAATAACTTTACCAACTGATGTCTGGTGAAGCTAGTTAAGTAGAAGAACTGCGCGCCGCACGTCTGACAAGAGTATATTTTCTCTTTGGTGTGAACGTTCATGTGTATTCCAATGGCACCACCCTACAGCACAATAAATCAATATAAATGTATTAAATCTATATGTGGGACAACAATGTTTTGGCACAAAGGGCAGGTTCTCACAGAAAACCGGTGTTAAATAATTCTTGAGACGTGTAAGTGAGGTTTCCGGTTGTTAGCTATCTTGACTGCTAAGCCACAGGTTCGGGTTCGATTTCCACCCAGGAAAATAATTGTGTGATGAGCACGTTCTGTGTCCGGCTGTAACTTATCTATATGTATGTGTTTAGAAATATATAAGTATGTTAAAGAAAATAAAATAAAATAAAAATAATAATACAATTAATAATAAAATAATATTAATAATAAAATTTATTTATTTTAAAGAAAATAAATAAATAAATGTTTATCAGCAGTCTGGTTACCATAGTATAGGCTCTGACTAGTTTTTTAAAATTAATTATAAACCTACGTAGATAGAAGGAATAGAGAAGACAGAATGAAGTTGTTATTTACCTTGACAGTAACTCCACAGACTTCACAGACCTGTGTGACGTCACAAGGCACTGGGACACCCTTGTGCTCTGCCCGATGGTGCTTCACATACTGAGAATAGCTTCGAAACAGTTTCTCACACTGAGAATATTACAAAAAAAAATATTAAAAAAACTAGTATTTTTTATAAACATTATGTGTACTGTCGCAGTTTAGTACTTCATGAACAGCCTTTGCTAGTCAACTGCTGGACACGGACCTCTCCTTAGAAAGGAGGTTTTGGCCTACTATACCACGCTGGCCAGACGAGTTGGTGTAGGGTTTGTTTCAAGTTTTCCTTCTCTCTGCAGTGCTGTTGTCCTGTGCAGTTTGTTCCCTTAGTCGTCTCTTACGACACCCACGGGATGAATAGGGGTGGTGAAACTCTGTATTCTTAATCCGTCACCACACGGGCTCACAAAATGTCGTCCCATGTGGGGATCGAACCCACAACACTCAGTGTGAAGCAGCGAGGTGACCGCTTAAATCACTATGCCATCCGTACAGTCAATTAATGGTGACTTACCACCGGACACGTTGTAGGACGAGACGAATTAACTCGAGTGAACGTTTTTGCAGCTCCCCCTTTTAATGGCGCTGGTGCATCGCTGGTGCTTGAAAACATATGCTTGTTTTATTATCAACAATGCAATATTATCTAAACTTTTAATACTGTAGAGACGCTTTTCCAACTTCTTAAGACTAGTTGAGACAACTTTGTCTGTCCAGGCCCGGATCTACGATTTTTTCGAACTAGGGTAGAAACTTAATAATAGAGCTCCCTCGACAGCGTTTGAGATAAATAACTTAAAAAAACTTACAAATATAATTATAATGGCAGTTTTCGTGATTCGGACATAAATATAATTTGGTTCTTAGAAGAATCCTTTTTTTAAAAAAAACATTTGTTGAGTAACTTAATTTATTTTGTACCATGTTATATTATGATTTGGGGCCCCTTGAAACTGCCGCCCTGGACAGGAGCTTCGGTTTCCCCCCCCCTCCCCCCCCCTAGATTCAGGCCTGTCGGCGCCTCTCAAAAAGAGTAAATTTCCATTATTTTTTCGATCATTTTTCATTGATGCTTGGCTCCTATTGGTCATAGTGTGATATTATATAGTTTATAGCCTTCCTAGATAAATGTGCTGTTCACCACTAAAATAATTTTACAATTCGAACCGTAGTTCCTGAGATTAGTGCGTTCAACCAAAAAAAAAACTATACAGTTTTATAATATTACTTGGTATGGATTCAAGACAATAGACTACTACGCTAGGTTAGTCCGGTCTGGATTCATATAACCTTTGAAAATATTGATAACTTTTACTTTCCGTGGCGCTCTTTCTTTGCATCTCAGAAAAAGTAAAAGATCTGTAAGATTCAGTAGGGTGTATGTCTGTGTATGAGTGCGATTGAGTGTGTTTACGCCTTCGTGCGTATTAGTGTGTTAATGTGAGTGAGTGTGTGTGTGTGTGTGTATGTGAGAGAGTACGTGTGTGTGTGTGTGAGAGTACGTGTGCGCGTGTGTGTGTGAGTACATGTGCGCGTGTGTGTGTGAGTACATGTGCGCGTGTGTGTGTGGGGGGGCGTGAGTACGTGTGCCTGTGTGTGTACGTGCGCGCGCACGTGTATATTTTTGTGCGTGTCTCAGACTAAGCATCGAACATCAAATCATGTTGCTGTATCATCATCATCAACGAAGACCTCCCCCTAGGAGCGCCAACTAATCTGGATTTGAGCAGTTCGCATCATAGCTTTCAAACTTTCCAACATTGCTGCACGACGCCTTACTCCGTCATTATGGTCTATTATAATAAAACTCCCTTACCCAACTAGTTCCTGGTCTTCACTCAATTGGAAATCATTAGCGTGTTTAACTGACTGCTGGAAATGTTCAGAGTACGCCTTCTGCGTCTCAAATTTGATGTCGCAACGTTCACAATAGGTGGTCCGGTCTTCATTCTCCTTGCGATTCTGAGGAATAAGCATTTTATTGCTGAATTTAAATTAAATAATTTAGTCTAAATTCTTTTTTTTAAAAGACAACGCCCGCACTAGGAATAAATCCTGTGTCGCAGGGGACTTTACAAACATACATGAAACGGACACAAAGGACACCTAGACTCAGAACAACAATTTGTTGATCACACAAAGTGTCGCCCCATGTGGGGCTTGAACCCACAACACTCAGCAGTAGCAGTAAGCGGCGTGGCGACCGCGTAAACCCCTGCGCCATTCGTGCAGTCAAAAATTAACTATATAATATGTGTATTGTTATTTACATTATTATAACTACACAGGCACTCACATAATGTGTAGATCTAATTATAAAATACTAGCTGTAGTACAGCTAGTGACGCACTATGCATCACAACATTGTGACATATTGTGCATGCAAAAAATAGATGAAAACAAAAAAAAAAGAAAGCGGGTTATATCAAACGGTCTAATCGGTATAAATCAATCTGTGCAGAACTTTTTGAGTTTACATCATTCATACATCATTAACAGCTATTCATAGTGCAACGCTACACATCTCCGTAAAAAGTACATATAGATTTGGGCCTAGTATACTACTCTGGCCAGATGGGTTAGAGTTTATGTCAAGTTTTCCTTCTCTTTACAGTGCTGTTGTCCTGCATAGTTTACTCCCTTAGTTGGCTGTTAAGATACCCACGGGATGAATAAGGGTGGTGACACTCCGTATTCCTAATCCGTCACCATACGGACAAACGTACATAAACCAATTTAACCTTTATATATACATACCTTATAATTAATTGTATCCTAAATCTTTTATTATGAATATTGTAAAACAGAAAAACTACTAATCTGATCAGTATATATCTCGCGCTTTGATATTTATTTGGGGCATAAACTACTTACGATTTCGGCATTCAAATGTTTAAGTATTTTATGTTGTTGCAACCCCTTTCTGCTGACGAAAGACTCCCCACAGAGTGGGCAAACATGGTCGCTGCGGTGATATATACGCAAGTGAGAGTAGTATGAAGATTTGTGTCTGGAACCAATAAATAATATGACTGTCTCAGTGGTGCAGTGGTAGCGTACGCGACTGCTGTGCTGAGATCTCAGGTTCGATTCCCGGGTCGGACCAAGTGTTTGTTTCGGATTTTGGGTGTTTTCTATGTATAATATGTATGTATTTACAAAAAAATGTCATATTAGTTGTCTATCAGGCAACCTAGCTTTCATGGTACAAGCTCTGCTTAGTTTGAAACTAGATGGAGTTGTGTCAGATGTCCGAAAATATTATTAATATTGAATTTTTTATGGTGTAAGGGGGGGGGGGGGGGGGGCTAACAAGCTGACTGGTCACCTGATGGTCAGGGGACTTCATTTTATAATTTGTAAGTATTTAATCCTTTATGGACAAAGTCTACCTTAGGGTCTTGCAGAAATGTGTAACTAGGTGTACTAGATTTTGATAATTGAAAAGTTGTAAATATAAATATTATTTGTGTATATAACTTAGCAAGTATATATTATTATGTGTGTTTGAGTATGTAACGTAACATACCTGAATTCCAATCCGCAGTGTTTGCACGGCAGCTTCACTCCACTATGAAAATCATTATGATTACTTGCTGAATGTCTGCCAAAATAGTATGTAAATATTGTTAAATATCACTTGTATTTGAGATTTCTGATGACAGGAGGAATCATTTATTCATCCTCGCACTTACTTATTGTAAACTGTTTTCTATTCATAAAGACCTGTTAATGGCTGAATGTAACCAAAACAATATTAAATCAATTTGTAAAGTTCTTCCAAGTGCTTCCAAAAGTTGGTCTTCCAAGAACAAATAAATAAATAACGTTGATTACTCTACAAATAAAATCATTGACCTTAAAACTTAACTTTCCCTTCCCAAAGCTATTTATCGAATTCTGAGTTAATAATTAAGTACCTGGATGACCGAGCTTTGCTGGGTATTGTTTTTTCAAATTTTCTAAAAATATAACCAGGCTGGATTGATTAATCGCCCACAAAACCCCCTGCATACTAAATTTTATGAAAATCGTTGTAGCAGTTTCCGAGATTTACATTATATTATTGTCTGGGTGTTTCTATGTATAATAAGTATGTATTTACAAAAAAAAAGTATATATGTATTTATATCAGTTATCTAGTACCCATAGTACAAGCTCTGCAGCGCCCCTGGTCATCCCGTGGGTGTCGTAAGAACCGACTAAGGGAGCAAATTACGCAGGACAACAGCACTGCAAAGAGAAGAGAGAAATGCATTGTACTGCACTGAGAAAAAAACCCTGTACCAACCCGTCTGGCCAGCATGGTATAGTAGGCCAAAATCTCCTTTCTTAGGAAAGACTTATGTCCAGCAGTGGGCTATCGGAGGATGTTGATGTGATACAAGAATTGCTCGTTTAAAGGTATTAGATACACTTACTCTGAATGAAAGGTCAGGTCGCACCGAAGACATTTAAACTTATTGTAGTGTACTATGATGTGTTGTGTTACTAAACATTTCATTTTATACCGCTTATGGCAGAACTGGCATTCATGTAGTCCACGGGACTGAAAATTTAAAATATTATTAATTTCTTTAATTTCCATAAGTATATACTCTTACTAATAATAAATAATATTAGTAGATATGGCAGGTATGCATAGAACCTTCTTGCAGCTAACGCGCAGGTATTTATTATTACCTGTAGGTATCATTATTTTGGAAAGGACTGAGTTATCTATTATATTGATATCTTAGTAGCTTATTTGTGGTTATATCTTTAAAATATATCATTTTATCGCTATATCTAGTTAGTACCTGGTAGTATCTGGTTAGCACTACATCTGGTTTCATACCCAGAGTCCGAAGTCAAGAAAATTATCGTTTAATCGTACTATACCATATCATAAGTGAGTTTGAATGATCCTTTTTTTTTTTTAAAAGACAGCTCCCGCTGTAGGAATAAATCCTGTGTCGCGGGGGGGGGGGGGATTTCTTGTTTTTTCTTTTAAACTCTGTTTCTAGTAAAACTTTTACTATCATTATCAATGCTGAGTAGGTCAATCTTACCTCACAATGATTTAATTTCATATGTCGGTCCATTATTTCTTGCGTTGAAAATGTTGTGTAACAGCTGTCACACTTATACATTGCTTTTAAGTACTTTGGATCTTTAGCTCTCAGTTTGAAATTTTCTAAAGCTTCATCCTCGTTTAAACTAATTTTCAACCAATGTTCAGGATCCAACAGCATCCGTTTAGGCAAACCACCTCTTTTCTTATCACTTTTAGAAGCTTTTTTTGCTTTCTTAGTTTTTCTTTTGTTTAAAATCACATCCTGTTTTGTTTTAGTTTGTTTTTTGTTTTTAATATTATTTTTTCTTATCCGGTTTTCTTCAACAACTATTACAATTGGTTTATCATCATTTAACACGGTCTCCCACTCACCGTCACACTTTTCAAAGCTACAATCCATATTTTGTTCGTCAACATTCTCCTTCTCCATTTTTAAACTGTCTTCTTCAATTTCTAGTCCCTCTTCATCATATTTATATTTATTATTTGCACAACATTCTTCGTTAAGCTCTATTTCTGTTTCGATATCTTCTGTTGTAATAGTTTCTCCTTCTGTTTTAATGTATAGTGAATCAGGAACTGTATTAATTCCAGTGATTGTCAGAAATCTTTTAGATTCAGGCATAATTTCAATGGTTGACAGCAAGTTCTTACTTTTTCTGTCAACTTTTGATATTGAAGACAATGTTATCTAAAAAGCGGTGATTAATTATAATATATTATGTATTTTTAGTGAAATAATTATTTATCAGTAGTCTGGTTACCGTAGTACAGGCTCTGTCTAGTTTGTGGTCAGACAACTGTGTGTGAGATGTATGAAGTTGTTATAATTAACACCACACAAATAAGCTTGGCTGTGTGGCCACAAATTATAATAATATATTATTATGAGGAATAGTTGTAGACAAAATAGGAAAGAGGACAATGCACAAAAGGAAATTAATTAATAATACTTTTTAGATAATAATAATGTTTTTATGTTAAAGTTACTAGTTAAACTAATTATGTACTACTGTTACTAAATGCTGATCTCTAAACTAGGTTTAATATCTGTATTTTAGAAATCAGTGCCGCCCACGTAGTCCTGGAATGCGAGGGAGTGGCCACACAACGGGCAAGTATCATTCCTGATATAAAGTCGCTCCTAGAAGCCTGTGAATGCCCCAGGAGGCTTCTGCGCTTCTGGAAGGAGCTTGGTTGGTTGTCACCTAGTCAACCAATCCTCGACGCATAAAGGACCACTCTGAGTCTAAATGCGGAAACCAAAGCCCACAACCAATACCAATACCAAAAAAAGGTATTTTCGTAGTAAAGAATTAACATCCAACGTTGACTGTGATTATATCGTATTGAATCTTTAATCTGCTAGTCTTAGTAATACTTTACTCTGAAGAAACTTTTTATGACAGTTGCAAGATGAAGAGTTGATCGGAACTGAATTTAGACCAATTTTTATGTGGAGAATGTGCCTTCAGTTTTAGAAGTCAGTAAGTGGACAGGGGAGCTTTTAGAGGATAAACTTCAAGCATATAGCCGAAGCAATTACTTACTATAGTACTCAGTGTATCATCATCAGCCTATCGCAGTCCACTGCTGGACATAAGCCTCTCCTTAGAAAGGAGGTTTGTATTATGTATATAAAATCATTACTTACTGGGCCTTTTTTCCATAATTCTTTTAATATTTCTTGTCCAGTAAGGCACTTTTCCCTGAATTTGTGATACTTGTATAACATTGTTGCACATTCGTAACAGAAATGACGAGGAAGATCATCAGTTACCTGCAAGAAGTTTGAAGTCAATGAGTCTTGTTCTAACATAAATCATTATTAAGTTAAACTACAATGAATGGTCCAAACATTGAAAAGAAAATTAAAGAAAAAGACTCACATTCTCAGTCATAAGTTCTTCGTAATAAACTTTCAACTTGAATTCTGCCATGTTGTACATTTTTACATCTTTAGATAAACAAATACGGCAAACTTTAAGATTTGACATTATAACTATTTTGGGTACCAATATTACAGTCCCTTAATTAAATGTCCAGTGTATAAATATTATGTTGAATTATTGTAAATACTGCATTTATCGCTTATACTTAATGTAAATAGAAAATCGGTGTAAACTGTGAATGTTGACTTTGAAGTTTGATTGAAGACGTCACGTTGTTTTATTAAAGTACCTAAGACCAAGACAGTACGTTAAAATGCACAAGTGTGATAGCTACTTCTACTGTAAGTATACTCTATGGTGACAAAAAAAAACATTAAAATCCCTTGTATACAGACTAATACAGAGCAGCTGTGTCTGTGATACAGAGATGAGAAAATATTAATCAAGATATATTTTCAAATGGTTTGTCATTGATTAACAGTGTTAACTTTCCTTATCAAGAATTTGTTAACATCATACAAAAATATACAATTAAATAAAACAGATTATCACTTGTGAATCCCCAATACATCCCGTGGGTGTCGTCAGAGCCGACTAAGGGCGCAAAACAACGCAGAACACCAGCACTGCAAAGAAGGAAAACTTGACACAAACCCATACCAACCCGTCTGGCCAGCGTGGTATAGTAGGCCAAAGCCTCCTTTCTAAAGAGAGGCATATGTCCAGCAGTGGACTATTAAAGGCTGTTGATGTGATGATGTGATGTACAGGCCCCCTCTTTTCCCCTGGGCACTCTGGGCACGTGCCCAGGGCCCATCGATCGATAGGGGCCTGATTCCTGCCAGATCACCAATCTAAAATGAATATTTATCACCGAAAAACATATTTATTTCGATAAATACCTTTAGCTTAGCAGTCAGAGTCACTAACCGCTAGATCAACAAGCCCGTCGTTTAAATGGAATCTAGATGCCACTTTCTGTGCCACCGCTATCTATACCAAAAACTCTGTTTTATATCAAATTCATAATATCTTAATTTCATAAAAAAAATTGCTGGAAATCGTCTTTTATGTAGACTTATAAGTCGTAGATCAACACACACACAACACACACACACACACACACATACACACACACAACAGCAACAATCTCTGTTTTGTCAAATAGTAAGGAAAAAAATAATGCTTATAGAAAATCTATAATATGCCTGTGCCGATCCACAACCGTCCGTTTTAAGGGGTTGAGCCTTATGCGCCAGTATGCCCGTTATTAAGGATTAAAAGGCAAAAAGACAATAAATAGAAGATACACTTATTTAATTAGTAAACAGCAAGTCATCCAGATTCATTTGTAATTTGTGTTCAGCAGTGACTTGCATTATGATGGTCGCCTGATCTTTCACAGTGCCGGAACTGTCACAGTATATAGGTAGTTATGGAAAAGTTGGAACCCTCGTTACTGAATGAATAGAATGTTTTAAGTCACACAATTGAATCACAAAATTTAATATTATTGATGCAGAGGGTCAGATCGGCTGTTGCGGTGGTTAAAAAAATATGGTTTCTTTGCATTACAATGATTATTTTGATGTAAAAAAATATTTAATTCATGTAAATAAGCTGTCGGATGCTAAGTTTGCTTGGTTTGCAGTTCTGACTGTAACATATACATATATGTGTATGTTCTATGTGTTTGTATGTGTAGGTGTACATTGAATGCTCGCTACTAATCAAGGGACCAAATAACGTCAATAGTAAAGCTAAACCTTTTGAAATTAACTAACGGATGTGACATCCCTAATTTCCCTAGGGATGTCCAGACGATACTCTGGCTTTGAGGTTTTGATTATTTTCTTCCAACGTAAAATAAACAACCAATTTATATTTATGTGCCTTTGACTTAGACAAGAGATTTTGGATCAGTTTATTTATTAGTTATGAGACAATTTGTATTAATGGGAACTGTATTTTGTGGATGGCAGAAAGTTTACAACGAGTTCATATTTCTTGAAACAGAGAGAGAAATGCAGAATTAATTAGAATAAACTGAAGGACAAATAAAATACATTTTAGACACGGTCGTCTGATCATGAGTTTGTTTGCCCTTTCTTCTCATGAGGCTCAACCCCTTGGAAACGGGCGGTTGTAGATCGGCACAGGCATTTCATAGATTTTGTAAAGGTTTGATTTTTGTTAAATTGATTTGCTTACTATTTGACAAAACAGAGATTGTTGCTTTTGTGTGTGTTGATCTATGACTTTAGAGTCTACATAAAATACTATTTCAAACAATTTTAATTTTTTTACGAAATAAAGAGAGTTTGAGTTGATCCTAAACTAAACAGAGCCTGTACGATGGTAAACAGAAGGTCAATTCTGGTAACAAAAAATGCAGTCAAAAGTAGTAAAGTATTACTAAGACTAGCAGAATACCGATTTAACTTTCGGTCACAATACTATACAATCAAATTACAATCAACGTTCGAAAGGAACTGAATTACTGAATTGATAAACGTATCAAAAAAGTTAAAAAACTACATCAAGGCCAGATGATCATCACAAGTAGTTTAAGAACTACAAACGATGAGATAGCAAAAGCAAGGTATTATTTAAAGTAAAGATTCCGAAGTTTATCGTTGAAGAGACATTCTTCGTCACATATGGGCCCGGATCGACCAGAATTATACCACGGCCATATAAAAAACCCATGTTCAATAGTTCTTTAGTTATCTTTTACCGAGTGAGTCAGATTACCAAAGCACAAACCTAATATCGATTTTAGGTTGAGGGACTAAAAGGCCGGCAATGTGACTATTCACCTTGTGACCATTTAAGTGTCATGTTAAATTTATTTGCTTATGTGTGTGTGTGTGTGTTTTTGTAAAATTTATTTGCTTACTATTTGACAAAACAGAGATTGTTGCTTTTGTGTGTGTTGATCTATGACTTTAGAGTTCACATAAAAGACGATTTCAAACAATTTAAAAAAAATTATGAAATAAAGAGAGTTTGAGTTTGAGTTATGGGTGCTGGTAGTCACTTGCCATCAGGTGACTCGTATGAGCCCCCATTTAAAACAAAAAAGAGTGAATAACCCTAAAGGTCTCGCGTATTAATGTACACATCAGCTACAAATTACAGTCAGTTATTGAGATTTATCTTGTCAATCATCAACTGCCTTTACTAGTCCACTGCTGGACATAGGCCTCTCCTTAGAAAGGAGGTTTTAGCCTACTATACCACGCTGGCCAGACGGGTCTGTATAGGATTTGTGACAAGTTTTCCTTCTCTTTGCAGTGCTGTGTTCCTGCGTAGTTTAGTCGCCTCTTACGACACCCCCGGGATGAATAGGGGTGGTGACACTGTATTCTTAATCCGTCACCACACGGACTATCTTGTCAATGCAGGCCTTTATGTTTATTTGATTGGCTGTAACTTGTCAGACCGCATGTTGTAAACTAATCAACTGTGTGGTTTAGGCGCAGCGTGGATTTATGTACATTCTGCGTTATTTGACCTCTAAAGAAAACTTGAATACAAGGCTTATCTATATATTTAATTCTATATATACATATATTTATATAAATTAATCCTTATCTCCCTTGGTCACGGCATCATGCGGGAACGGCAGGTTCGAATTGAATAATTATTTTTGTGATGGATAGGCCTTTTATCGAGGAAGGCTATATAACACCAACGCGGAAACGATTTTTTTCAAGAGAAACATCAAAGTTAGGCATCGCGGGTCAGCTAGTATTACATGAAAATGTTAAGTTGGTTTAAACTCAAAAAGTTCTGCATCGTTTGAGCTTAAATTTTAACTCCATTTACAAAGATTGTTTTTATATATTTTTCGCCTTTGGTTTTTTTCCTCATATACGCAATAAAATATAAAATACTAGCTTTTGCCAGAGGGCCCGCCGCTTTACAAACATACATGGAAACGGACACAAAGAACACCCAGAGACTCAGAACAACAATTTGAAGATCACACAAAGTGTTGTCCCGTGTGCAGTAGTAAGCGGCGAGGTGACCGCTTAAACCACTACGCCATCCTTGCAGTATAATTAATAGGTACGTATAAACCAAGAGGGTAATCCGCAATTCAATCAACCTTATACGCGTGGGCCTATGTAGATAACTCTTATGTTTTTCGGCTCCCCTGGTACCGCCTGGGAACTATCGATAACACTATAGGAGTCTTTAGACATTAATACCCGTAAATTAAACTTTAAAAAACTGCTTTATGAATGGCTATTTATAAATTGAATTAAACAAAAATGTAATTTGAAGTGAAAACTTTTTTAGGCGTGTTTTTTTTTGTTGTTTGCATTTTTGAAAAAACAATTGAACTTCCGACACTGTTACCGTTACCGACACCTTTCTATATAAATTTTCACTTTTGTAGACATTGCCCGGAGCGACACTTTTTTTAACTGTTATTTATGTTATACTTAAAACTGAAGAAGCTAGTCCCCCCAAATCCCGAAAATGGGGTTTTGGCCTCTAGTAACTTCACTCACTCGGTGAATAGCTATAATGTATTGCTTAATACCGATTTTATATTATATATATTTTTATGTATTTTTTAATTATTTACACATCATGCACATTTGGTGCATTGGCGGACTTAATACCTAAGGCATTTCTCTGCATCACCTCTACCAGTCAACCTTTAGGTGATGCAGAGAAAACAGGAAGTAGGTGCATTTTAGTTACAGTTGATTTAGACATTTAATATTGTATGTATACTTGTACAAAATCATATAATATATACACATATACAAATTTGTCATATACTACACCTATACATATTAATATTTCACATAAGTACATATGTGGCGGAAGCCTATTCCGACACCGTCACTGGATGAGCGGAATCGCTCCGCTCATGCCACTTAGACCACAACCAAGAAACATACGATGTTTACTGCAGACGGCTGGCGCAGATGCGCCCGCGCACCGATGTCGGCGCGCCACCTCCACACAACGCTTTCGACTTGCTTGGAGCTTATACGCGTCGCGCTAACATATGTTATTCGTATACC